CCCTCCCGGCTTCTCCGTCCTTTCCCGACAGGCCTGCATCTCCCGACTCAGCCTCGCGCGGGGCCCGACTGCTGGCGCCTGCGCGCCCTCTTGTGGACAGGGTTGGGACCACACGCTGCGCTGCAGAGGGGCGTGGGAAACCCTCCCGCGCCTGCGCCTGCGCATACTTTGCTTGTGCAGAAATACAAGCATGTGTGCGTGGGTCTGCGTGTACCCGCCTCTCTTCACGTTGGTGTGTGCACCTGTCTGTGAGCGCATGTTTTGTGCCTGTCTACTTGTGCTCGTGTGTGATCACGTGTGCGTGCTTTTCTGTCTGCGTGTGCACGCCTGTGTGTGCATGTGTGTGCGCGCGTGTGTACGCATCCGTTCTCAGAGGCCTGCGTGCTCTCCCACAAGCCACTCCCTCCTCCGCACTGGTGTGTCAGCCCCAGGGTCCCCTCCTGCGCTATTTCAACAGCCATGCGGATTATTTTCTCTTTGTGTCACTGAGGCTCTTTTGAGCGTCACAGATAGTGGCCTACGACACAGTTCTTCTCAATGCATCCGGACCATTACACGTTCGCCCTGTTGTGCAGTGACCTCCTGGGGACAGAAACCTGGGACTTAAACAAGTTTGCACGTGGTAGGCCACCCCCACCCCTGCCCAAGGCTCGAACTCGGGCCCTGTGCTTCCAAGGCAGGTGCGGCGCCACTGAGCTGAACCCCGGCACGAGGTGGGACTCGTGGTCCCCATTTGACAGGTGGGGATGTTGAGGCCCAGGCAGGGAAATCATAAAAGCAGCACTGCAGAAACCACTCAAACATGGCAAACGCTTGCATCTCACTTTTCTGACAAGTTCGGAAGATAATTTTTATCAGTTCCTGTCTTAAAAGGACAGAAATTTGAAGCCCTGCACTGGAATCTCACACGGCAGCCGCAGGACCCAGCTTCTCCTGCTGCGGGGACGTGGACTCAGCTGCTCAGTCACCTGCCCTGGCCCCTGAATCCTTTTCTGAGAACTTCCTCCTGGTAGCCCGGGGAGCCTCCCTGACCCCCATCCCTGTCCCTGTCCCTCTCCCAGAGACGGGGTGGCTGCGTGGGACAGCGCTGAAGCTGTGGGCGGAAGGGAGCTCTAATTACATGATCCCCTCGCTGTGGGGGCTAATTGCTTGGTAGCCACAGTTGAATCCTATGGATCGCACCATGTCGTTACAGGGGCAGTGCAGGTGCACATGGGAAGCCGGTGACACCGGCCAGGTTTTGAGCCCTTTCCTGGGGGCAAATGTTGCGTCCCTTGTCCTGGTCTCTTCTGCATGCAGGTGGAATTTTCACTTTATAAATGAGACTGGCATGGGAAGAGAGAGATTTCAGTCCTGATTGTTGTGCCTGGTCCTTACAGGCTCAGAATTCGAAGTCTCAGGCCCCAGATCCACCCACTGAATCAGGGTCTGCATCTTCATAACAATCCCAGCTGCCTTCCCTGTGTGCATTTAGAGTTTGGAGATGGAGGGTGGGTGGATCAATGGTCGTCTACACAGGACATGCAGCCCCTCATCTTTCTCTGGGAAAGCACCCACTCCCGTCTCTGAGGCTTGAAGGGGAGCTACAGGCTGTAGTGGGGAGCACAGAGACCCCCTGTGCCTGGCTTGGGACTCAGTTGAACCCCCCGAGGTGCTCTTGAAGAAGGGCCAGTTTCTTGTTGACCTGTCCCCTCCGCCTCTGCACACTTGCTATGGGTGGGTCTTCTGCCACCCTCCACAGTCCTCTGCTTGCCTCGGTCAGGGGGATGTGAAAGGAGGTGACAGTGTGCCAGGCCTGGAGGGGTGTCTTGTGTTTCCCCCTGTCCTCCACATGAGGAGTGTTGGCCCAGGTGGCCATGGCACCGTCTTGTGGAGTCCTAGGAGGTCAGCTTTCCCCTTGCTGGGGCACAGTGACTAATATACTTAAAGGAGGAAATGGTTTCTTTGGCTCATAGTTTCAGGGGGTTCAGTCCATGGTCAGCTCCCTCCGAGGCAGGGGCATCATGGTGGAAGGGTGTGGGGAGCAAAGCTGCTTCCTTCATGGCTTCTGGGAAGTAGAGAAGGAGACAGCATCAGAGAGCAAAGGTGAGAGACCAGACAGAGCATCCAAGGCCACCCAGACGCACCCAGAAGTGTGCAGGCAACTGCACTTTTGGGAGATGCTTGTTACACAGCATTGTCTCTGCAGACAGCTGACTGATACAAGTGCTTTCTTTCCAGAGATTGCTAAGCTGTATTTAAACTTTTAGAAGTTATCTTGCTGGGCATGGTGTTGCACACCTGTAATCCCAGCATTTTGGGAGGCTGAGACAGGAGAATCACAAGT